TATGAGTCTCTTTTATTCCGTACAACATTTAACTTAGCGGAACAAACACTTTAATTAAAAATTAAAACTGTTCATAACACAACTTTACCAAACCTGCTGTAATAGTTGTAATAACTGTAATAAGTTTTATGAGTTGAAACTATTCTAAACTAACAAAACCTAACCTAATTAACTGTAGGCTATATTCAAAAATCTGTTCTACATTGGAAAAGGCATAGGTACATGGTGAAGGGCGTCAGGGGTTATGCGGGTTCGTGACTGCATTAAGTTCTTTGGAGGTAGGTGAACTTAGATTAGAGAAGTTAGATTTTTAAACATAATTTATAACATGCACAGAAGATTTTGGAGTCTGGGGAAAAAGTAAGTTTTTATAAAACTTAAGCTTAATGAGTAGATAGACATTTTCCCCCATTAGGATCGTATTGTTAACCGGGCTGTTTATTTATGTAACATCCACATCGTTTTATCATTAGAAACTGTGGCTTAAACAACGAGGTGACAATTTAAAAAATTCTTGCAATGTTCCAATAGTGATAACACGTGGATGTAGGAGGTAACATAATTATACGACCCGGTAAACTAACCTAAACTTTAGTTACCTCCTAATCTAACCTATAAATTCCAAACAGTTAAACGCAACCACCAGCCCGGATAACCCCCGACATCCCTTCCCCACACATGCCTAAATAAAGCCATTAGGATGAAAGTTAACGATAATCAACAACACTCTTGCTCCACTTATCAGCCATCAACAGTGGGGTGACCAATAGCGAAGTGCCAACACAAGTGAAACAGCAGTGCCAAAATGACAAAAGTTTAGGTTGGTACACACCATATTTCCCTGAATTAGGGATTAATTTAGTTGTCCCGATTATTGGGAGGATATCCCATTTTCCCTGCGGAAATTACTCCACTCCGCTTTCCCGTCAAATTACCCATTATGTCATGATGATAAACGACGTTTTGTTATCCCCCGCCCAAAACCCTGAATTCCCACCGGTCCCCTAGTGAGTTGGACTAGTTGGAGTTATTGCTGATATAACTTAGGCTAAAAAGGTCTAATCTAGGCCTATATATATATAAAAGGCAAAGCCCTCACTGACTGACTGACTGACTGACTCACTCACTCATCGCTAATTCCCCCACTTCCCACTTACCTAAAAGGCTGAAATTTGGTACACTGATTCTTTAGGCATTAAATAGGAAAACTAAGTGGTTTTTATTCTGATCAGACTCTCCGGGTCCGCCCCAGTGGCTCTGGAGTTTCCCATGTTAAAACCTAACTAGTGTACATGTTGCTCGAATTCGAGCAATTAGGATTTGCAAACCAATAACAATCATACTAAGCTGTCCACATTTCAACAAAAACACACCTACCTTCCCTGTAGCAGCAAACCTAGGTACTCATATTAAAATTAACTTATTGTTATTTATGTAGGAAACAATGACCATTTTCAGGGAATATGTTTGTAGAAATTAAGCCAGGTAAATGGAAATATTGGTTTGCTGCGGATGCACAGTTTTAATAACAACAGCAATGATTGTAGAATCTGAATTATTACTTATATCCATGAGTTTATCTAGCAATTATTTCCTGTAAAATATTGTTGTAAATGTAAAATAGCAGCTAAAAAATATTGGACAGACTCGGTCAACAAATGACGTGACAGTAGTTCCATTTAATCAATGTTAAATGTTTACATTCGGGCGAGTGGCATATTTTATTTATGTTTATGATCCATACAGTTCCTGTTCTAATAATCATGCAGTATTTAATATATTTGGACCAGCTGTGTGGAATTTTGAAATCAAAATTAATTTGACAGTTAGTTCTGATTGTTTACATTTTTAAATTTTGTGGGTTTGTTCTTTGTTACCATGGATACCATAAATAAATATTTCACTTTTAATTTCTGACAACAGCTGGAGTTTCATAACAAATTTTGTTTCCCATGTTAATCTTATGGATAAATACGAAACTTTAAAGGGCCCCAGGGCCTCACTCTCTAATTATTTACCTAAAAAGAAAGTTTCCTGCACAACTTCACGTTACGCTCTTTACAATGACACCAAAAACATGTCAATCGGTTCAGTAGTTTCGGAGGAGTAATTGTCACAAAAATCCTGCTTGCGTATTAAATAAGTACTAGTGGTCGTCCAGTGGTCGAAACTCGACCTAAAATATCCAATGTACAGGCTTCTCTATTTTCACCCCACGCTGTAAATAAAACATGTGATTGTGATTTCTTCCATTTGTTTTGATTTTCTGTTTATATTTTGTTGTTATTTCGTCGCCAACATGGCAACCCATAAAGCCCATGTAAATTTTTTTAAAATTTCAAATCCATTTTTTGTGCTTATATTTGAGCCTATTTTAATTTTTAAAGGGATTCTGCACTTCTACAGGAAAATATCTTTCTAAAGGTATGCGTAGATTTTCCCTGCGATGCACACGAGCTGAGAAAAAAGGTTTTAAAGAAACATGCTTGCCTATTAATATATAGATAGATAGATGAGTACTCATATTTAAATGGAATTAATGAATCATAACAGCTGTTTCAATTAAACAAGTTGGTTCTGTTCTATGATGTTCAATAGCATTAAAGTTACAAGGATTACCAACAGAGTGCAGCACTATTATTTTTTTTATATATTTGACAACAGCTAATTTGAAACCAAAAGGTAAGTGAGCGTAGCGAACGAACTTCAACCCGGAGGCGAGGTAGCGTAGCGAACGAGCTAACCTGAAGGCAATTGAGTGCAGCGAACGACCTCCAACCGTAAAGGTGAGTGAGCGTAGCGAACGAACTTCAACCAGGACGTGTGAGCGCAGCGAACGAGCTCCAACCTAAAGGTGAGTGAGCGTAGCGAACGAACTTCAACCAGGACGTGATTGAGCCATGCGAACGAGCTCACATATGAAGTTAAACGGGGCAAAGCCCGCGGGTACAGCTAGTTAGTCATAAAAGGAAGCCTCGTTGACAAAAAATTTAACAAAGTTGTAGTGTTGATGTCAAGGAACAGTTTATTAGAAAGTTTTAGGTAAATCGGAACTTCTGAAATAAAGAGCAAACTCTGTTAGTGATGGTTAAGTTAGGGCCTTTCAAGGTTAACCCTCCAAGCGTCTATAGTAATGGTATTATTGTCCGCCCATTTATTGCGCAATTGCAGGATTTTATTAAAATGTATCTTAGAAACTTAAAAACAATGTAAAGTAGGCTATATAGGCCTACTGTTTTATAGGTAGCCTAGATAGCATATCATTTTGTTTGGGAAATTACTTATGGGCTTCAATTAATATAAAACATTACAAAACAAAAATTTCAACAATTTTTGTGGGGGTAACATTTCTCAAAAATTATAAAATAAACTGAAAAAAAAATTACCGGTATGTTTGCGCTCAATAAATTTTTATAATTAGGTAATAAGTCTACAAAAATTTTAAAACCACCACTTTGTTCTAAATTTTATAAGGATTACAAAAATATAATAACATAAGGAAGTAAATTTGCAAATAAATAAGTTATGGGTGAAAAACAGATTTTGTAAATTTAGCGTTAGCGAAGAATGCATACCGTAGCCTAACCACAGCTAGGAATCTGGCCGATAATTTACATCAATATCACTACAGTACCTACTTCTTCAGGATCAACCAGCCCTTCAAAATCACTTAAATCTTCTTATAATGCACCACGTAGGCTATATCACTACTTTTTATTTTTAAAACTAAAACAGTGATAAACGTAATAAAACACATATCAGTCATCGGTGCGAGGTTAACCAAGTTGTTTACAAATACACACGTCAGCTGTCTGCTACAATATTTTCAGAACTAGAAAATGAAAAGCGTAGGTAGTAGAAACAGACATCAAGAGAAAGCTTAGAACCTGCCAAAAACAACGATACCAATCTCTTCGCCGTAAACGATGTTTGTGTGTCGCAAAAGCCACACATGACACCACCGGCGGGTGTGTTGTGCGTCAATTACGCGACGCTTAACAGTCGGAGGGTTAACCCTCTGTCGGTCGAACCTACGTTTGAACGCGACCACTCGCCTATATCTCTCAGATACATTTTTCCTTTAAAATATTTTTTAGTACTTTAAACTTAGCCTATATTTTCTTCCTAATTAACAGGACCAGTCGCACTGTATCTTATCAGATACAACAGAGCAAAAAAAAGGCATGTGTTCACAGGATGACGCTAACAGCGATACTTAGTGGTGGGGGTCATAAAACATTACAATTATTTTCAATCGATATTAAGATTATTATATAATTTATCAGTTTCTAATAGGCCTAAGTTAACTAGGCCTAGATCAAACTTAGCATAATCATCCCTTGTTTAAAATATAAGGCCTAATACCTAAGTTAAATGTTATAAAAGTAAACAACCGAGTAGGGTATGCCTAGTCTGTAAGCCTATTAGACTAGGATGTTGGTCAGACTGATGTTAAAACAGATGTTAGCCTATTTCAAAAATTAATTTAGGCCTATGATTTCATAAACAGTCTCAGTGAAATAGTACCTAGCCTATGTAGGCTAACTCACCCTTTCAAACAACGAAAGGATGAGATTATATTTGCACGAGTCCAGTCACAAAACAACTAAGTAAGATATGTTGCAACCTGTCATTGATGGGCCAGACAACCAAAGTGCTCACTCCCTGCATAGGCTAGTAGGACCTAACGCTCTTGAAATTAAGCACATTAAATTGAAATAGAAATCAAACAATATAGCCTAAGTTATGGATTAAGGTTCAATAAATGCATATGCAATGGTCAGTAGTGTGTTTCTAAAACGTATATAGGTAATGCATGTGAATTGTTTATGTTAAATACAAACTGTCAAACGCAAAATATGCGTCTACGTAAAACCACGGTCATCTGGCCGTTGACATTTTAAGAAAGTAGGTACGCAGTAACCGACAGACGTCTCAAAAGTATGCGTTTTACAGATCACCAAACGATTGCTATGCACTAAATGTATAATCAAACTTACCGGCGTGAAACGCTGGAAAATTAAAACGTAGCGGCAACAGCTAGTGACGTATTATAACAACAAAATTTCAAGCCGACTAACCACGTGCAATTTACGCAAAACGGACCACCTCTAGCCAAAATGGCGATTATCTTCCTTCACTAGCACAAATCAGGTGTTAGGTGTACCACTTTTTATAGCGGTAGGAAATATTTTTTTTATAGAGACAGGGAAAGGTGAACTACTACAAATAGATCATAGATTAAGTTTATACTTAACCATTGACAGCAAGTTTGAAATTATGTACTTAAAGCGTTTACTTGTTGACTTTGTATATTACCATAGATAAAACCATGTTTTATCTATGATAAAACATACTCCCTTAGATATTACATTTAGACTTCTCACTTCTTAGCCTTATTTGGATTCTGATGTTCTTTATCGTAGGCCAACCAATGTCGATATAATAAATGTTTCTCTTCTAAATTATAAAAAAAACACATTTCTTTCCATTCATTCAACAGATAACTTTTTAAACTATAGTTACGTAATAATAGCCGTAATAGTTTTTAAATCACATTTCCATCTTTGTATGTTTTGGCAAGTTAGTTATATGTAAAAGTAAACATTTCTCACTTTGAAAAGATATCTGATGTGCACAACTATTGTACTATGGATAAAAAGATAATCTGTATACACTAACTAAGGCATAAGTATACAGCCACTCAAAATAGTTTTGAGTACCAAGGTGTTAAAATGTACAATATCTTGCCTGCATCCATCAATATAGTCTTGGGGCGACCTTTTGTAAACGTTATAGGAAGTATGTATTATCTATGGCTAGTTCATTTCCAGCCTCTCGCCTTCGAGTAAATTTATTAGTACGAACTGCCGTCAATAGACACAATTAAGTAATATTTTTTGGAATTGTTTTTCACGATACTTCAGGCTAGGCCTAGAGCCCCCCCCCATTATAATGGAGGTGCAGCATTATAATTTGATATCTATATTGGCAGTGGCGTATCCGGTAGGGGTTTGAACCCCCCTCTTTGACCACGATTTTTGTACAGTTATAATTTTTTCCACAGTAAAAATATCTATATTAATGTCTCTAAATAGCCTAAAATGTGAGTTGACAGGTCTAACTTCCAAAATTAGACCAGACCCCCCATCCCTCAGGGGTATTCCATACAACCCCCCCCCCCCAAGAGTCATCCTATAGTTACACCTATGTCTATTGGTGAATTTGGTTATTTCAACAGGGGACCTTGAGAACCAAGTCCCGCGCTCTGCTAGACCAGCTTTAAATTTATCAATTATCAATCATTGAGATGAGTACGCCACCTAGGTGCGTATTTTAACCCAAATATGAGTGAAGGATGAGTGTAGAATGGTGTGTGATGACCTGTGTAGCTTTGTTACTGACTAAGATCAGCGGTTTCATTAGTCAGGATCATTTATTTAAAGCCCAATGATCAGGAACAGCTGGGTCCAGTTTCGAACCATCAAAAAGCTACTGACTTTTCTCAGGATCGATCCGGCGACCTTTTAATTACTAGGCGAGCACTATGACCACTCAGCGACCCACCCAGCTTGCTCCCATAACATAGAAATACAAATATGAACATCAACGAATGCGCGACCAGCAATAATACGCACAATGATTCATACGACATCCAGATAAACTAGATCTGAAAACTGTGTGTATTCAACATTTTGTATCCTGCAGAGCTCAATTCTCAAACAGTTTGTAGTCCTGTTTGAAATCGGTATCCTATGTGGGAGCTTAAGTCAATAGATATAGTATATAGGCAGGACTGTACTCAGATCAGGGGCCCAGGCTCCTCCCCTGAACATACTTCAAGCGGAGGAGCCCAGCCTAATATTTTACCAGGGCCTGCCAAAGCTGGGTATAGTTCTGTATATAGGTATACTCAAGAGGAACCCCAACAGGGCAACAGGACTAACAGGAGCTAAATATAGGTACATGTAAAAGTAAACCCAACATGTTGAGAGGAGCTAATACGTTTCTGCTTTGTAAAATACATGAGTGTCATATTGTTGAACATAACACTCTACCTGCATGCAACTATAAATACACTATGAGGTCTGTCATGTTCTCTTCCCTTTGTTCTAATGCCAAATCTCCTAGCTCAACTTTATTGAAAGTGCCCCTTAAACACATTTCTCAAACTTAGTTAGAATTTTCATAAGATGCCAGTATTATGAGCATGCCAAATCTCCCTTGCTACTGAGCATCACGATAATTTACAGTATACATTCACAATAAATTTAGCTGGACCTGTTTATTTGATGGTAAAGACAAAAAATTGCAGGGAAACAAGGGCTCTTAGTCATAGCCGTAAAACAAGGTCCAACGCTCAAAGCTTTAGTTAAAATGTAAAAATTCTTTACTCTGTAACAAATAACTTCAATTTAGAGTCCCATTCGTATAGGAAAGAAGTTGAAAACCAAAAACAAAAACTATAAGATGATCACCGGTATGTTTATAAGATAAAAACCACTCATTACTCAGGACTTAGTGAACATTTTGTGGATGGTCCCTATAGAAGAGGCTTAAACCTACAATATTGAAAAAAAAAACCTTAAACAAGACGCAACCAACTAGCAGTTCCACTGCACCTGTTTTTTATGAACAATACCAACTTACTCCTTGTTTTTCTTATAAGTTGTACTAAAGCTGGATTTACCTAAGAGTTAAGATTATCCGCTGATCCATTGGTGGTCCACTTCTAGAAAAACAGTCCCATCGACTTATCTAAAACAAAAGGATTGCGGACTCCGCTATCCACGTTCGTGCCTAGGAAAACCCAGCTATACAGTGATTAGGCCCATTTGGACAAGAAAATCAAGTTACAAATATAAAAAAATAAATAAGTTATACCTACCAGTAAGTAGTAGAGTAGAATCTGGATACTTTGACACTTGATAGTTAAACACGTGCTGTAATGACCATGTCGGCAGCGGCCAATGTCGGTTTTGCCAAGGTCAAAAATTAAAGCCTTCTAACCTTCTCAATACTTGGAACTATTCCATTAATTTACATTTTTTCTAATATCCAAAGTAAATAGGAAACTCAAAGACTGGCTTATGGATCAACCATTCTACTCACTAAAGGAATTCTTTGATCAAAATTGTCAAGCAAGATGAAAATTAAAATCTATATATATGACACTACTGTATTGCTTAAAGAAATCTCAATAAAGAAAATTGATTGATTGATTGAAAGAGCATTTCAATATAACAAACTATTTTATAAAGTAAGAAGCCAAAGAATGTACGGTAGAGATAAGATAAGTTGATAAGTTTGTTTATTTTTGTCAAGTTTTATAGGTTATATTCACTAAATTTGTTTGCTTTATCTCACGTTTTAAATACTTCTCGTGTGTATATGTCAAAACTACCAATAAATTGACATTTTGATAGTTCGACACTCCCTTAGTCCACAAACAGTTGCGTATCCATGGATGGGGCCTCCTTGACATTTTTGTTATATTACGGATGTATTGTTTCTTGATACCAATTCTCGATACCACCGATACTAGATATTGATAACTTATCGGCGTAGAGAATCGTCAAAAGTCGATTCCAATACCGATACCAGACACTTTTGCAAAGATCGCGCGTTTGGAAAGTTACCGCTTTTGCTGTGATAGCGCGAGACGATGATCAGAACTTTGCCGCAATCGCCAAATATTATGACGATGATTCCGTTCCATTCATATTCAGTCATTATTTTGCCGTTACCACGGGCAAAATACACAACTCTTAGTGGGTTACACTTAGACTATTCTCTACATTAAAACCTTCAGAGGTGGTATAAACTGCATTATAGCACATTAAAATACCAACATTTCCTGGGGGCTCCGGACCCCTAATCCTGGGGAGTATTCCATGCCCCCCTCCCCCCCAACCCCCCGCGGACCCCCAAATGGAAACACTGTCCACAAAGTATCGAGCTATTGAGGTTCTACTAACCATGTTTAAAAGATAACATTGTAACCTAAAACCTCTATTAGTTAAAATGTGTGTTTTTCAAAATAAAGCATACAAATATTCATAAACAACACACGTTTTATTCAGTCTTAGTCTTAATAAAACCATATTAAATGTATAAAACTGGATATTTCTCTTATTCTGACCCAAGAAGTAGACTTGGGCATTAAACACATTAAACTTATTGCACAAAAACCAAACACACAATCATAAATGCAAAGAATACTTCAACGTAAACTCAGTTAAATGATAATTGACACATTATTAAAGAATATAAAATAAACATGCTTCAAAAACCCTTCAAGCCACAAAACAAAGTTGGAGAGTAACTGTAGATCATAATTCACTTTCTAAATTTCAAACAATGTATATGGGTAAAATATAATGCTGTTAATAACATAAAATTACTGAAGTTAGAAATAATTTATTTACACAACAATAGTTTACACTGCCAGTGCGTATTAAATACCAATCCTTTTTTAATTTGTCAGGAAGGCTCAAAGGGCTAACAAACTCTATATAACGAACTTTTTAGAAAGGTATTGTTTTTCACGTAGTAGGAATTGTATAGATAACTTTTGAAATGTTATGAAACAGCAGTTGTATCTATTTAGAATCAGCCATGATAAAATGGATTTGTAAATTTGTTAAGTAACTGATTTCAATAAGTATATATCGAGTTAAGATGTAATTTGATAGGTAATCAAAAGGCAGAATGTTTTCCATCTACGGTAAAAATGCATAATATGCTTTAATTTTACAATACCTTTCTACAAAGAACAATTAAAGTGACGATATAAAAAAAAAATAAAACAAACTTAAGAAACATATCTATTGGTGAATCTATAAGATTAGTACAAAAAATAATAAAACTCTTTAAAAATATCTTCTTTTTTCATAAAAATAGTTTTGATTTGAAACCCCACATATCTAATATTAAGTTTTCAAAATAATCCCTAGAGGACAACTTGAATTAGGATACATCAGACAATATCAATAATTGTTATTCCATTGAATCATAGACAAATAAAATAAATATAGATCGGCAGCAGTGCTGCGGTTAGCATATGTTCCGGCACCCACCGCTAGGAGTATCGTGTAGTTACCACGCTCACCGCTGCAGCGTCTGCTGGTAGAATACGGCTCCTGCGCTCCTCGCCTGCAGCAGTGTGCGCCGTAACTACACGGCTCTCCTAGAACGCACCGGAACCTTCCTTCGACAGTCTATATTTATTCTATTTGACTTTGATTGAACTCATTGATCAGTGACATGACTGTGATTCAGGCGAATATGCTCCAGCGGTCTCAGAATTACGCTTTGAGATTTGTCTATGGTCTGCGGCGTGAGGAGCATATCACGCCATACTACCTTGAGGCAATAATCTTGAAACTAAACTATCAAAGATCCGTCAAAATTTTGTCATTAGTCTTTTTAATTTTGAAATCAGGCTCCCCGAAATATTTTACATCAGATTTTAAATTTGTGTCTCAGGGTAGTTCACGAATTTCTCGTTCTTCTTCGATCACATTGCGTATACCTCATCATGTGACCACCGCTTATGACAGGGCTTTTGTTGTTACCGCTTGCCGTCTTTGGAGCAGCCTGCCCCTACACATTAAATCCCTTGATAAACGTTCCCAGTTTGTGGCGGCACTAAAAAATCTCTACTTTGAGCAAATGGTCTCGGCTGGCATGTCCTAGGGCTTCTGCGTCTTTGCGCGATTGCTGGTGCGTATGCGTGTGTGTGTGTGTGTGTGTTTTCTTTTGTATATTCTATTTATAATAATTACTATTTTTTTTTAATTAGTAAATTAGTTAAATAAATTGAATTTTTGCTTAACGTGTTCTTGATGTGTTAAATATGTATATTTATATTAGATTAAGAAATTTCATTGTATTTTTATTTATTTATATTTAAGTTTGTCAGGTTAAGTGTAAGAGAGGGCCATGTGGCCCTAACTTTGCCTGGTAAAATAAAGAATTTTTTCATTTCATTTCATTGAATGCAATTATTAATTGACTTAATTTTTATTTATAAGAATAAAAGGTTGAGTCTAAACATGTTTTTTGAAATGGTATACATTAGATTCAACCCGCACCCGGTAAACCAAAACTTGGGTTAACTGAAACCATGATGAACAAATTTGTATCAATTAGAAGATTATTTAGGAAACGGGAACTGACCACTGTAGTAGCGCAGGTAGTTGGTTTGGCTTGGCCAACAATTTTAATGGAGCAGACGACAACATGACTTGTATATCATACCATTGGAGGTTCAAAAAATGTGGATTATTAAAAATAATAGATTACATACATTTGTAGTAGGCCTATATGGTAATTAAACGTGAAAACAACTGCTGAAGATATCTTTGATCTCTCTGATTTAACTCTTTCCCGTCTCTTTATTTTTGATTCACTTGTAATCAGGCATTATTTAAAAATGGTTTTGCTTTGCATCAAATAAATTACTTTAACAAAAAAACACCATTAGGCTACTTAGATTCCTGCCATTTTGTTCTGACATCAGGTCAAGTGAGACTTGTTGATTTTTTTCATACGTTTCTTATTGTACCTCTAAAGTTTCAAGCCTTTGATACCTCCGGTGTCTCAATTAAAAAAAGCAACCTCTTTGTGGGACACCATGTATATTATATAGTCCCGATGAAATACCAAATAGCTAGTTTACCAATAGTTAACTATAACCAATATTTAGATAAGTGGGGTTCCTTCGTAGCCATTTCGCTATTTACCCTTAAAGGCCACAGGCTCTTTGAAACTCTTGAGGAACTCTTCAGCTTCTTTCACGATGCCCTCGAGTCTCTCCCTAGTGGCCGTGGAAATACCGGAGGTGGACAGCTTGTCCCGGGCGGACACGATGGCCGTCCGTCGTCCCGTCATGTTGTGGAAGACTCGGACATGCTTCTCACCGGCCGTCAACACGTAGTCTCCAGCGGAGTCAAACAACACTCGAGATATCGGACCTGCAACCAGATTATTTAGTTTTGGATGTACGGTAGAAAAGTAAGGGACAGAGGAAACATTCAATACTTTATACTTTTATACTTTTCAAAGAAATGGTGACCATACAAAGTAGGTATTTTAAGCCAAGTATGAATGGAGATGAGTGAAGGATGAGTGGCGCGATCTTGTAGTCTTGTTAGTGACTAAGGCCGACATTCCTTAGAAACAGCTGTTAATTAGTAGCCCATACAGCCAATGGCAACTAAGGGACCTACAGTTTATAGTGGAATCCGAACCACATTTTCGCCTTGGTGTATACGAATTGGTCTAATTTTTAGATAGCACTGTGGATAGTCGTAGTACTCAGTAGCGGACGTTAATCCACACCAGGGAGTATTGCATCCACAGTGCATGCCTATAAATATCCACAATTCGTGACCTACTAGTAGCTGGATTACAGGACGACGCCCCCCGTCCCAGTGCACCACAAGTGGTTGGATTTCTTCTCCTAAACCCCCTCGCCATCATGTACAGTAAAAGAAAGAAGAGGTGGCATTGAATTTTGATGGACAAAGGTATAGGATTGTTAGGTTTTCTTAATATGTCACCTGTAAGCACGAAGGTATTATTGATAAATTCTTACTGTAGTATTTACAGTAGACTCCCTCTTATCCGAACTTCTCAGGACCGAGGCCAGTCTAGATAACGGGGTTTCCGGTTAAACAGACGTCCCCAAAAACTCATTAAAACAGACCGTTTTAATGCATCCTCTATACAGTAATTGACTTAAATTTAGGAGAACATTGTATTTAGACACGTGATCACTGGTCTCAAATCTTTCCCACGAGAACAGTCGTTTCAGTACCACCCACTTCCTGCCGATCTAGTCCGGTTAAACCGATGTGCTGATAAAATTTGTCCGGTTAAAGAGATGTCATTACCGCCGAGTGTAGTCCGGTTAAACCGATGTCCGGTTAAAAGGTGTCCGGATAATAGGGAGTCTACTGTACTGTCAATCCAGTAGGAACTTTGTTATTTTGATAAGATAGTATTAATCCTTTCTTTTTATAATCGCGAACCATTATAACTTTTTTCAAACTTTTAACAATGGAAGTTTAGTTGTTGTTCTGTTCTAGTTAAATAATTGTCAGCAGTAAGTTACCTGTCTGATTCGTCACTGTTAAAACTGTGAGTGTGATCAGAACAGAAAAAGGAGCCAATTAATTAATTGAGATTAACTCGTTAACACATGAAGTTGAACAGATAGTATTTTTGGTCACTGGGGACATCAGAACAAAAAAGTAAATCATTTCTTAGTCAAGGTCTTACAGTGCCAAAGTAACAGCACCTTCCTTATAGAGGAAATTCATTTTAAGTATGTTTAAGTATGTTTTTACCATGCTACTGAAGAGATTAGAAAACGTTATTTTATTTAACTTTACTCATTTTTTTTGCTACTACATAATACACTTAAAATAGAAGGGAATACCTCAGTAGCATCCCTTTAGGCCTGCCATACACGTTCCGTCCGAACTGCACAGTTTGGCCGGAGTCGTGACCTCTCCACACACGCTCAGTCCGGAACTGCACAGTTTGGAGTTTTTGAGACGATTTTATTTATTTTTTCAACTCTTTTCTAAACGCACTTCTTAATTTTTTTTTACCACAGTGTCTTTTGTGACTTTTAGGTTCGCCTTCTTCACAAAATCCAATAATTCTTGATAGGTTGCTTTCCTCATTTCCCTGTTGTGGAATTCTTTATTTTTTATTTTCCAGATGCATTGTGACCGTGGTATTTCTCTATGAATTCGAGTGTCAAGTCTCTTGACCAGGTATACATTATTTATGTGAAGTACCGAAATCACTACACAACACTACAACGCCAAAATGCGAAAACTATACCAACAAAACAACAAACAACACAACTCCGATTATGCTTTCACCAGTAGTTGACTGACGATGAAGAAAGGATGCGACTGCGATAATGCTTAAAATTTATAGGGGGAGGGGGAAGCAGCACTGTCTTGGACTGCGGGATTCACCATACACGTTCAAATCGGCCTCAAGGCCGGGCCTGTACAGGACTGTACAGTCCGGGACTGAAGGAAAACCGGAACGTGTATGGTAGGCCTTACCGTTTGTTCTACTTAAATGATGTTCACGATTTAGGTGTTTTTTAAAGCAGAGACAAATATAACAAAAAGGTTTATTTAATTTAGGGCTTAGCTCACCTAGTGTTTGATTTATTTCTAGATTGCACTTTGTATTTTTTTATTGTAATTAACAGCTGATCCTTCAGTTGCATTGTTTAACTAAAGTTGGATTGTAAACAAGAAATGAAACCGTTTATGAAAATGGATTTTAACCTGATTAAGTTAGTAAAATCACTATTATTTATGAAATACATCTACAATCAACAAACTTTATACTATTTATAAATCAATAGTTGTTTTCACCTAGTAACTGTCTCAAACATAATCTTTTGAAGGTAAAAAGATATCACATAAAAAACAAGTTTTGAACTAAAAAATTCCCATTTGAGCACGTATACCTCTTTCCAAACTTTTTATTTTACACATTTTTTTCCTATACTAATTTAAGTTATTAAAAATATTCACCATAATAAACCTGAAAACAAAAAATAAAAATGAATGTTTACAGAATGTAAGAACATAAAAACAATTTCTTAGTACAACAAATGTTCTGAAGATAAATCCAAGGAGACATCAAAGAGAACTATTGAGTAATCCAGCTCAGTCACAGTCACAGTCATTCAATGACAGAAGAGAAGGGGGAAGTAGAAAGTCTTTCACTTGAGAATGCGGAGCCCAGAACACACTTTCACCCAAACATGTGAGGATGAAGTTACTGGTCTTGTACACGGCTTGGCTGTCCTTTGTGGGTGAGTTTGATTTGATTGTTTTATTCATCTTAAACATCATAATAAATCAACAAAATTGGTAAATAGTGAAAGAATACTTAAATCTGGATGGCTAAAGCATAGTTGTTCTAAAAAAAAATAAGAACATCATTGTAATAGTAGGAATGAAAAAAATTCATATTGCGAAAATCTTTAAGAAAAGTATAATTTAAATAGCTATCCCGAAAATCAGAAAAATAAAACTCCGAGAGCCACGCATTTGAATTTGGTTTTAGATTAAATTATTTTATATATAGCGCAGGTTTATTGTACATTTTTAGTGTCAATTATTGCGTAGACAAATTAAACCAGTTTAGCTTATGCTGTGATGGTTTTTGAATTTTAAAATTTTGTATCATAATTATTGAGGTCAGATTGGTTTAGCATGAATGGTAAAAGTTCTTATAAAATCATTCGAGTGAACTAGGTGATACTAGCTGTACTAGGTAAGGTAAGAATTTTTAATTTAATACAAAATGGTTTACCGTTTTTTTTTTCTTTTTGCTCATTACCATTATGCATTGATCCATACCAACAATTCAGTCGTATGTCATGATAGAAAACATTACAAGCACTATTTGTAGATGTTATTTTGTGTGATTTTTTTAAATATGTACTTTATTAACTAAATTGTAATCTCATAGGTTTTAAAATAAAGAGTATTAAATAATTTCCAATAAGCTTTTTTCATTAACCGGAAATTCTACTTGAATATTATAAATCAATTTTATGACAGTTATTGTATGCAATCTTCTTTTGTCACAAACCCTTGAAGTAAGGTTCTAATAAATTTTAAATCGTTAGAATTAAATAATAACTGTCATTACACAGTAAAATAAGATAAGTTTGAAATCTTTGAGAGATTCAAATCTGAATTTTAGATGATACACTTTCTTTGGCAAGAGCGAGTTTACATTTTCAACCCAAATCAAACTTTCACTCAGGTTCCAATCCAATGTGTTTCACAACAAATCTAGTTTGTCCAGTCACAAAATGAATCGGTATTTAAATTTAGATTTCCAAAATCAAGATAACTAGGTTACTAATTAAATTGAAACCCCTACACAGATGGGTCAAAATATAAACAGATCCTTTACATAGGATTTATATTATTGGTGTATGTATTTTATCTAATTTTTTACAAATCTTCAAAATATTCTTCTAAATAGATGTACTTTTTTCAGTTTGAAAGTGATTCTTTGTAAATGTTCGATCAGTAATGTAGGTACATTCTAGTTTGTTTTCAGGACTGTCAGAGGCTTTGTTTATTCCTGAAGAACTTCCAACATTGCTGTCATTCTTGTACACCAATATTCCTCCAATATTCAAAGGTAAAAATTAGTAAAGTAATATATTAAAAAATATATATTAATATTATTTATAATACTTTTAAAAATCAATGTTAGAAGGTTGTAAAGACATAAACTAAACATTCTTAGAGTTTAATATTGGTTTGAGGTGTTTTGAACGCTTTGCTAAGTGTTTGAATTACTTTGATAAAAAATGCCACTTCTATCAAACAAAACAAAAAATCTTGTATCACTAACAAAAAGGAATGACATACTTTTCAGAACTGTAACATAAAACACCAGTTAAATATGCCTGGTTCAAGTACCACACCACACGCTAAGTTTCCGGTTAGACCTGAGTACAGAGATCTTGGTTATCCTCCAAGGGTTTGCGCCTAGATTTAACTTTAACCCTCAACCATGCCGTTGCCTGGGTTGAGGGTTACCACTTCAGCAAACTGGAGCATCTGGTTTATCACACAAATGTCCGTATGGTCCAGATCAATTCGGCCACTGCCCCTTCCACCGCAGTGATCAACATGGTGGCCTTCCATCGCCACCCCTGTAATTGTTTTGGTTTCCTGCACACGAAATAAGTATGGGTTAGCTCTATCTGCTTCTGTAGCCTGGGGTTCATAGTTGTCCACCTGTTACAGCCGCAGCTGAGGCTCATTCTGCCCCACTCCTAGCCGCAGTAGGTTGGGGCTCATCGGGCCTCACCTGACCGTTGCTGTAGGCTAGCTCAGTATCGTAGCTACCGCAGTCACAATTCACACTCCCTATCAGTCACCGCTGTCATCTGGGCGTCTGGTATCACACACCCCCTGAGCCCTGTATCCGGCTCTTTGCACAGATACCTATGACTGTCTCTTCCACCACAGTGAGCGTGGGCTTTCCATCTTTATCCGTCATTCCCACGCTCGTCTACATGTTTACACGCAAGTCTGGTTTAACACACAGATCCCTGGGTCGTCGCAGTACTCTGGGGACTCCACCTACCGCTTGTTGTCTGAATTTCAGATCACCCACCTAACATAACACCTACAGGCCTTCGACCTCACTGTAGACTGTAGACGATGGGTATCCATCGTGGCCTCAAGGCTACAGCTGGGAGTTATCTGCTCCATTGGTCACTGCGGTCCTGGGTGTTTAGTTAAATACGCAGACATCCACAACTGCAGTTAGTAGTTGTCCGTGGAAAGGGAAACTCATCCTACACTTGTTTATTACCTATCACAACAGTGTAGCATGCCTATCAAAACTCAAAACCTGTTAAGGTTTAAACTCTAGCCTTGGTTAGGCATTCCAGGCTATGCCAATGGTTACACCAGACAGTTAAAGAAAGGCCACTATTATAAATGGGCCCAGGGGCGGAAGAGGTTTTTGGTTTTATGGAGGCACAAGCAACCGAAAATGAGGATAGCAAAATAAGGGGAGGAGGGGCGCGCAACTACCTCTCGGGTCCTAGTGTGTCATATGCTAACCGTGGGCCTGACTAAAGGTATGGTTTCACCAACCCCTCCCTCAAAATAGGCACAAAAGTCTGAAATAATACCTTTCGAGCATTACAAAAACATCCATCTAGAGATTGTAATTAAAATATAAACAACTCTCATTATTTTTTAAGAAAATTTAAGTATTTTGCGTCTCTAAACCAATCTCTATCAACAGGCACAGACTCCAGGCTCGGCGTCGGTTTCCGAGTTGGGCCAAACGCAGACTTCCAAATCCAAGTTGAACTCGGACCTCAAACACGGACTCAGCCACTTGGGCCAGACGCTGAAGGTTCAAGCAAGAAGCGACACGTCCCGGAGCTAGACCAGGCGTTCGCCTCCAGCGAGAACCATGTTTACACACCCAACAGAGTAAAAACACGCCCGGACACTCCTATTGGCTGGCTACACACGTGGAAATCCTCCTTGGGGTCGTCTGCGGAGAACGAACTGACCAGACCAAACAATCCAGCTTTGGACTATGACGTTGTGAAACATCTCCAACAGCTGTACAAGGTTCAACCAATAAACGAGATGGACGAGGTGATCAACTGACGTAGAAGTTGAAGTTGGACAAGTTGAGGAATTGACTGTGATATTGTACTTTGGAAGATTAACTTATTTTGTACAAATGTAAAAATGTGTTGAGGTAAATGTAGATGAGTGTGAAAAGTACCATATTTTTCCTTGTGTGTGTATGTTATATTAAATTTTAAATAATCTTAAAGGAATACCAAAGTACAAGTTAGCCGATGAAGGTCTTGATATATTTTGTAGTATGATAGGTGTCTATTTTAAAGTACTAGTTTTGATATGGTTTGAAAACACTTTTAATGTGTGAACATTGCTTTTAAATCTATTTTTGTATGTGAAATGTGGATTAAGAAACAAATTAGTCCATAACATTCTACATAAGGCTAATCTTATAGACATTCAATTAGTTTATAATGGTAATAAGCGGAACATTTTCGATAAAGAGGATGTTCAAAAATGATAGGACTAGGGATAATCAATCATTTGGAAAAGAAACTTTAATACACAAGAGTAAGGAATAACACATATTAAAATAACCTTGCCACTAAAAACCTGCAGGCTAAGCAAATTTCCATTTTTTATTTCATTCTAACTTTTTGTACAAATTTGTCCTCAAACATGTGCAATTCAGCTATAAGATTGAAGTTGATAATGATGTTAATTAGCAATGAAGTTATTAACTACCTACGGTAATAGCTTCTTTCCAACAGGGGGTATCCACTAAAAATTTCCTTTTTTAAGACCAAAAAGGTCTTTTAAGTATCCAAAATGGGCTTGGACGTCTGACAAAGAAGTACATGGGTTGAAACTGATGTCAACATCGCTTAACTTTCAAAGTCAACAAGATTAGCATGTTCACCAAACAGCCACATAACTAGCTGAGCAAAGAGTTTCACTTTCACAGCTTGTTTGCACTTCGTTTAACACACTTTCACATGCAAAGAGGCAGTCTTAGCACGCAACAGCGGTCAAATGACATGCAATGGTAAACAGTTGAAGTTTGTAGTAGATGGCAGTAGCGGCATATGAGGAGACCTCAGAACAAAACAATATTGTAAGGAATAAAAAATTGGAATGGTTATGTTTAAAACAATCTTTGGTAAAAATTGTCTGCTCATTATCCTCTTTGGTTTGGAGATATAAACTGTAGCTATTTTCAAAATGTCTACTGGTAATGTATTTTGGTATACTAGTGTCCCTGTTGCTCTAATTCGAGCAATTGCTAAGTATTACAGGCGTTATTTTAAAACGAATTTCAACCAAGTCAGCTAATGTTTGTAGCAAACTGTTAAATTGACTGTTTACAATAATTAACATGCTCTTCTTCTCACTTATGATTTCTGACAACAGCTGGAGTATTATAACAATATTTGTTTCCAATGTTAATCTTATGGAGAAATATGAAACTTTAAAGGGCTCCAGTGCCTCACTCTCTCATTATTTCCCTAAAAAGAAAGTTTCCTGCACAACTTCACGTTACGTTCTTTCCAATGACACCAAAAACATCACAATCGGTTCAGTAGTTTCGGAGGAGTAATTGTCACAAAAAATCTGCTTGCGTATTAAATAAGTAAAATAGATGTTTATGTAAAGATTTACCGAATTATACGATTCAAGGGTGTAGTTGATTTTATATAATTCTATCGATTTCACAAGCTAAACGCTGTGTTCAAGGTTGTGATTGATTTAAATTTTTTTACAATTTTCTTTGCTTAAAAAGATGGATTTTGAATAGGGAAGCTAGTAATCTGATTAACATTAGATAGACCTCTGAGGTAAGGGACGCTACACTTGCTCACTTTGCGGTGTGTATTTTCTACAGGTATAAATGGAACAGTTTTTAAACATTGCCATGATAAATTGCAACGATTAAACCAAACTCTGTTGAAAAAGTTCTGATTAAAATGAAAATCAAATCAAGGGGTAACATGCAAAAAATTGAAGTTAGATGAGGTTTTGATAAGGTGACTCAATTTAGTCAAAAAGACTCTTTAAAAAGAGAATGGACTAGAATTTTTTAATTAAATAAAATAATTTGAACTATTCCAGTTTGATCCAAACTCTCAAGGATCAGTGCAGTCTTAAACTTTATATTTAGGCCTACACCAGGCTATGCCTTTGCTAGTTATCGAATCATAGACTTTTTAGGTAAAAAAAAAGAAGTAGAAATTCTTTATAATACAACTAATCAGTTAAAATAGTAACAAAACAGGAACTAATTTTCATTGTTTGTTAAATTGCTTTGGATGAAAAATCAGGTAGTTCGACATGAAAATAACAGTCTAGATGAATTGGCATTGCCACTTCAGAATATTTTCCATCCCAAATGTTAGTTACCTCACAAGTGTCCCGAATTAACTCCGGTAGACTTACCATTGCTATAAACGTTGTCTATGACTTTATCACAGACGCCAGAGAGAGCTGAGTATAGACTGAGTGTTGCACCGGTTGCTATAGCGACCACTTCTCCGTTGGGAGACAACGCGAGATGTGCCGCAGCCGAGCTTGCATTGTACTTCCCAGTCACACACAAGTGTGGGTCTTCTCCTTTCTCAAATTCAACTGGAACACGCAAAGGACAATGAGTATTGAGTTATGTCATTGGTTTCGCACCTTCACATTCTAGGACGCTAGACTCTAGCATGAAACTGGTTTACACATTATTTCAAGACAGACCTAGAGGGGTGCGGCACTATCACTATCATTTCATATGGGGAAGTATTTTATTACTAACCTATTTTATTGAATGAATGAATGAATGAATGAATTATCTCTTTATTCCAACAAATTATTTACAGAATATGTACACAAATATTTAAAGGAAGGAAAAAAACATAAGTGAATTTAAAAGAATAAAATAAAATTAACCTTTACATTACATCTATGTTTTAAAAAACGCGTACATGTTAATAAGGAATAAGCCGACATGGGCAGCGAGCCTGTGCGTCGACTGTAGTTGCGTCCAAACATAACATTTATAATCAAATGTAATAAATAAATAAATGACAGGAGATATGATGAGGTAAAAATATGATGTAAATGGAGTTGCAAGAAAAAAAATTGTGAGATGAATGGCTATGTGAAAAATATTAGGTGGCATAACTAAGTTTAATAAAAATAAATGAACTGTAATAGTGACAGGAATTCTACAGATTTCAAAGTGTGTCTAGAGGGGTGGGGCAGGCGGCGGAGAACGAGTCAGGGTACAATGGTCAGGTCGCATGTCGTGTCAGGAGCGTCTGTGTCCGTAATCAGCTGCGATGATAAGCTCAGCTGATATTACTAGGTGCGTATTCTAACCCAAATATGAGTTAAGAATGAGTGTAAAATAAGAGTGTTGTGCTTTATGTAGCTTTGTTACTGACTAAGATCAGCTGTTTCATTAAACATTTATTAAGTCCAATGATCAAGGACAGCTGGATCTAGTTTTAAACCATCAAAAAGCTACGGACTGTTCTCAGAATCAAACCAGCGACCTTTGGATTACTAGGCAGTATAACCACTCAGCCACCCAGCTGAATTATCATGTAGCTAAAGTGTCATAATAATTATAATATCTCTAATCTCAATAGAGCCTAGAGAGTGAGCTGGACCAGTGATAGAGCTCAGGACTTTGTCCCAGAGGTTCTGGGTTAAAATCTCACCATTCACCAATGGATTTTATCCACTTGATAATGCCTAGCCTGAAGTTATTTGTAAAAACTACTCCGGGCTATAGCCTAATGTCCTGGGATTTGAATTGGGACATAAAAAGAATAAAACATCATGAGTGCCAAGAAATTACTTAAACTTCTGTGAATTACACTTACTATTTGTGTTGAAGACTTTCCACGTTCCGTCTTTGCTGACCGTAGCTATTCGGCTAGAGTCTGAGCTGAAGTCAAAGTCATACACACCGCTTGAATGTCCGGCCAGCTCAAACGCCCTTGAAACCTGCTTGAACTCTCCTGTCTTGGCGAACACTACTTCCCATACCTTCACATCGGGGGCGAAACCTGAGAAATATCATCGTCAAACAGCTTTATTAGTTAGTAAACACTGAGGGCTGTGAGAAAATAAGCGCATATTTTGTGTTAGCATTGTGAATTAAAGTATTTACAAAATGATGCCATAGGCGCCAAAACCAGTCACCATATAGACAAATTGTGGATTACGTGGGCAGAAATAGTTACTTAACCTCTCTAAGATAATTTGTAAATAATCCGGGAAGTAATACTCAAAAATATTAGCTATAACTGGACTATGTATATGGTATGTCTACTTAGGTATCGTAAAGTCAATGGTAAATTGGTAATACCCAGTATGAGCAATCAGCCCTAGACTAATGCAGTTCACAACATACTGTAACAGTGCTGCCAATCTAATCTCTGATATATTTTGCGATGGAGGCTGACATTCTTAGGCAGTAAGGCATAAAAATCACAAAAACAAATGCTACCGCCAAAAAGGTAACTTTGAATAAATATCTCAAGTTCATAACTGAAAAAAAATAAAGTACTACCAACCTGATGCCACCACGAAGCGTCCACAAGGAGACACTTTAGCCCTGAATGTATTCAGCAGACATGTATCTAAGGTTGTCAGCACTGAGCCCTTCAAATCCCAAATGACCAGCTGATTAGCGGCTGAACAACTCATGATGAACTTGCCGTTAACTGCCACGCCGAGTCCAACCGTCTCCTCGGCGAATTGCTGGAACAATCGTACAACTTCGGTCAATCACATGAAGCAGTTGGTAAGAATCAATTCTAATAGCAACAATGTTTACAAAACCTGGTTTTTTATTGTGTCATCAAAGTGGCAATTGAGATACATAGTTGCACAAGGGCCCTTCCCCCATCATTGTCGCCTTTGTTCATCTCAACAATTAATTTAGGTTGGATTAATCTTACAGAACTAGGATCTCTTGGTGTGACTGGAGCCTTTCTCTAATTCCTACCATTAAAATTATTATGGAAATATTTTTTTGCATTAAATTATAACAAGTTGAGCTCATTTAATCCCCAAGTTTCTTTCAGCAAACTTGTCGTTTTCATATCAAGTTCACTGCCAGGCGTTGGGTTGAACGCTGCTGAGACTCAAACAAAATTTTTTACACAAAATAAAACTTATTGAAATCCACCTTAAAAGGCCTGAGTATGATGATTAAGTTAATTGAACAATGTTCACATGCGAAAAGTAAAAGCCCATACAAGGAGCAAAAGTATAAAGAAATTTAAGGTTGGTCATCAGACGCGATCATTCCCAGGCATATATGGGGAATTCCCCGAAAATATTTGAATGGCTAGTTTGCTATAAATGCATATATAACCAACCTAGAAACATTTCATTTTGTATAAAGAGGAGGACTTTGAGCTTTAACTTGACCAGTTGCATTTGTTAATTACTGTGTCCATGAATACTAGTAACATTTTAGTGTTGATTGCATTTGAATCCATGTAAACACCTAATGTTTGGCAAAGAGTTAAAAGCATTGACTCATTGCATTGGAGTCATGACTCATCTTTTGCCGGCTACACCACGCACGCTACCGTACCAGTATTATTTTAATTGGCCAATTTTGTTAAATGTTTGTGTTTTCGTGTTCGTGTTCGTGTCTTCAACGACTCTTCACAGTTATGAAGAGGATTTATGTGTTTAGAAGGAGTTTAACCATGGTATCAGCTTGAAAATGAACCTTTAGGTTCGAAACCTGGGTCGCTGACCTAAAACACAGGATCACGGACAAGTACTACAGGTATTTAACCTTTTATTAGTAAAAGCATTGACCTTAAAGTCATCTCTATCATAATGATCAGCTGAAGCCAATACCATAGATAAGCATACTCCCCTAAGTTGGGTCTGCACAGTTTAATACTTAATCAAGATTTTTAATTATAGACAATGCTACACAAATATTCCCTCAAATATATTATGTTTTATTTATATTGAAAACCTCAACCCTCTATTTCAAATAGCTCATTGAATAACTAATTCAACATCAGAATTCAAAAGGGTTAGTAAAGCAACTAAATTTTTAACAAGGTTCTAATAACACTTGTATGTTGTGTACAAGGAAAGGATTTAAAAATGTTTTCATCGCAAGGCTAGTTTTCACCTCCATTACCAAAGATTTAGTCAAGGCCATAATTTTGTTGTTGGTCGAATTTATATTCCTTGAACAACTGTGGATACTCATGTATTGGTAATTATTGTGTAAATAAATTTCTTGAGTGACTGATTGATTGATTGACTCATAGTTGAACAAGCGTCAGGAAACAGATAGAAACTACAGCAACAAAATTCACTTAAGAAGTAGATGATAAGAATATAGAATAATTTACTCTCGATGATTGGAAAAAGTGGATGATGCTGACAAACAAGAGTCCTTAGTTAATCTTTTGCTGTAAAAGTCAAGCAGTATATATTTTTCCTTCATGTAGTTTCAAGCCGGTTCAAAGAAGTGTCAGAACAATAAATGTATTTCACTTTTTTTACTCTAGTGTTGTTTATCATAATTTTGACAAAACTCACATCTATAAACTATACATAATGCATTGTAAATGTAAAGATGTAATGAGGCAATAAAGAATTTGAATCTCAAGGCCTGGATCAATTTGCAAAACACCTTTTGTTTGGTTCAGCAATAAAACAATAGAAGGAAGGAGAATGCTGAGAGAGAGAGAGAGAGAGAGAGAGAGAGAGAGAGAGAGAGAGAGAGAGAGAGAGAGAGAGAGAGAGAGAGAGAGAGTGAGTGGGGGGGGGGTCAGTAGCTTAACCAAGGTTTGAGGACATGAGCCTCACACTGTCACCTTGGTTTCAAATGCAATATCCTGAAAAGCCACCAGCCTCAGTCGTGATGCACCGTTTCCTTAGTCCCGTCCTTCTGGACAATTACTTCTTCCTTGTTTTGGCCAAGGGGCAAAACGGAACTCTAAGTTGCTCAAGATGGTTAAAAAGTGTTATGACTGGTAAGAGCTGCTATCACAAAACTCGACGTTAGATAGAAAAATTAAAATTTATGAAAAAGTAAACATTTCTATGAATACATTGTTTTATTTAGTTATCAAAATTTAAAGTACCTAATCACTTTAACCCTAGCTTTGCAATAAGGAACTCCTTAATAATTCTGTCAAATACACTGACTTTTCAACCAAGTAAAACTTATATGATGGCATAATGTTAGCTATAGTATCTTTCATATTGCATCAACTATCATAACAAAAACTAGGCCACAAAATCGAATATAGACTGAAGGGCACTTTGTAAAAATTTAGACGGTTTTAGGAAATTTGTCCCCTCCACCTTATCAACCTACCATTAAAATAATAGCTCACCACGATGATTGCCAAAACTTCAATCAGCTATTACATTATATATAAAGTGGTGGGGGAACTACCCCTCAAACTGCCTACATTTTGTGAACGGAATATAGAGTCAAAGATACTGGTTCAAAATAAAATTATGTATTTAAAACATTGTAAACAAACAACGGAAATTACAAAATTTATATATATATATCATGTTAATAAAACATCAGCAGATTTTTCTGACAGGTGATTTTTTTCCACAGGTGCTCATTTTTACAGAAAATTGGTTTCAGTAAAAAGTTTAATGTGTTCTGTTCTATAAGTAAAAATTTTTTTCAAAAACAACTAAGTAATAATTAATTATCAACATTATCAGTCAGTGTTAAGGAGACATAGGGAAACTTTATTCTAAGAAAAGAGTTACCAATCTGTTTCCTGAAACTTATCTACTGTGATAGGAACTTTTGGAACAAAGATATAACAAATTTATAAAATAATAGTGGTTTAGTTACCTTTACTTTCGTCCCAGTTCAATAAAAAGTTGTAACATCTACAACCATGGTTTCAACGCTAGTTGCGTCATGGGCAACTTACCAGTTCAGGGGCAAGCCACAACAATGAGTATAACAAATTTACTTATAATTCATGATAAATTAGTATAAGTTATCATAGAGATATTAAAGCAGTGAAAATTTATGATTAATAATCATGGAATTGATGCAGAAAATTATTATTTAACACTTATAAATATGTACTAGATACAAATGTGTATAGTTACCACAACTTCACTAAAAATGTATGAATCTCGCTTGGATAAAAGTACAATTTATAGTTTAAAAACCAGTACTAGAAAATCTAAAGGGAGGTTTTTATGAGGTGTCGAGTCCCTTTATTGATGTTTTTTATATTTTCATGCAGGATTTTAACTCGAGATGGGTTTGGATTGGATTTATATAGGTAGGCCTTTATGTATATTAACTTTATTTATTTATTTACAAAAACTGCTCATTTAAAATCTTTTTATAATCTAAATGTACAAATGAACAAAATTCCAACAAATGTTATTCGTCTCTAGAAATAAAATATGACATGGAAGTAGAAACATTGTTGACTATATTTTGCTAATCTACTGTCAGCTTAGATACTACCCATACTTTGATAAATTGACACAGCTATTAGAAATATGGAAAATTATTCTGGATATGTAAAAATAGTATATTCATCACCAGGAGCGAAAGTGGCTCTTTATGGTACGCAATTAGCCGGGCATGAAAATACAATTAAGTACAAAAAAGACACTTTTTCTCCGTGTGATGAACAACTATTTACATCATACTGTGGAAATAACCTTCTAATTGTAACAAAATTAGACCACATAATTTGAGGTTATACAAAGTAGTAATAAATGTTTACATTCCTGTTGTTTACAAACATAACTTAAAATATCAGGTGTTTGCAGCGTAAAACCAATGTGCCATAAACAAATTTTGAGGTTAGCGAACGGAAAAAATTACCATATGTTTATTTGTTCCCTATTTGAAGTTACACAAAAACTATGATTTTGCAGACGATTTAGAGAACTAAAAACGGCTGTTGTCCCGACAGTATGATGAAAAGTACACTATGAACAAGAATTTTGTTTTATTATAAAGAAACTAACTAACACATGTTTCCTTCTTCAACAACTCAATAATCCGCCAACATTAATGGAGACATGACATATTAAATTATCCATAACTGGATCACATGTCATATCAAGAAGTTTTCCCTATCAATTGGCCTTTTCTGCCAAGATTCACTTAACCGTTTTATCTGTCTATTCATTTTTAACCAACATTTTACCTCTACAACAGTAATGTTACTGAGGGACAATTTTTATCGTAACTAAACCACATCTATTGTTGCTTAAGACTTGAGCGTCCGCACAAACCACATTTCTACAAAGCAGGAAACCACTGTTGAAAGACGGAGAAGAATCAAAGGCGTATGGGAACAAGATTGCCTTGACTGGACGTAGCTTGTCAGGAGAACTAAGAGCTTAACACTTCCTTCGTTATGTAAACACCGTGCGATCAGGTAAAGCTGTAACGTACGTGAACCCGCATGCGTTAAACCGACAAGTTAATCACTAGCTGTTAGCGTACACTCGGGTGTTTATACGTGTTTGCTTGCAACTACGATGGGCTTGACATTCTCTTGTAGATTTGTTACAAGTAGGTCAGTCGTAAATTCTGGATACAAGAGATTTAAAATGGTTTAGCTATAAGGGGGAAATCCTACTAATATTATAAATGAGAAAGTTTGGATGTATGGATATATGGATGTATGGATGTATGTTTGTGACAAGTGAACGCGAAAAATACTGGTCGGATTGGGCTGAAATTTGGCATGATGATAGCTGACATTCCCGATTAACATATAGGCATATTCTTATTTCAAAAATCCTTTCAGGCTCCGCCCCAGTGGCTCTGGAGTTTCCCATGTTAACCTAATGAGAAATGGAATTATTGAATCTTAACAGCTGTTTCAATTAAACAAGTTGGTCCTGTTCTATGATGTTCAATAGCATTAAAGTTACAAGGATTACCAACAGGGTGCAGCACTATTATTTCTTTTACATTTATGACAACAGCTAATTTGCAACCAAAAGGTGAGTGAGCGTAGCGAACGAACTTCAACCTGGAGGCGAGTTAGCGAAGCGAACGTAAACTGAAGGCAAGTGAGCGCAGCGAACGAGCTAAACTGAAGGCAAGTGAGCGCAGCGAACGAGCTCCAACCTAAAGGTGAGTGAGCGTAGTGAACGAGCTCCAACCTAAAGGTGAGTGAGCGTAGTGAACGAGCTCCAACCTAAAGGTGAGTGAGCGTAGCGAACAAACTTCAACAAGGACGTGATTGAGCCATGCGAACGAGATAATCTTGAAAATTAAGAAGTTAAACGGGGCAAAGCCCGTGGGTTACAGCTAGTTATGAAATAATTATTACAGTGCAGTGCCATAGATAATTGGTAATTGTATCAGCTGATTTAATTAGGTGTTTAACATGTGTTATAAATGCAAGTTTTTTGATTAGCGTAAAAAAATAAAATTGAAAGTTTCATGACACTAGTCTTCCATAAAAAATACAAATCTTAACTCATTATAGATGAGGAGATAGTTAATTACATTAGTGTAAATTCAACAATTGCTCAGAAATGTATTAAACTTTTAAATCAGTTTTTTTATTGATACTAAATATTATTAAAATCCTCATTTTAGTTTGATGAAATCCAAAATCAACCAGACGTTCTTAAATGAGGTGATCAGAACTAGGTCACATGTGTGAAAGAGTCGTTCACTTTTGTACAGACACGAGGCTGAAAGTTGAACTGCAAACAATGAAACAAAAGCTGTAGAATGATCTCTGTGTGTAGATTGACTAAAGACACTGATAGTAGATTTACTGTCACCTCATAGGTTTTTACTAAGACCCACAGATTTGTTAATAAACAATCAAAAAACTTGGATAGAATCAAAACTGACTTTACCTTAGGAAATGTAAAGGCCTTTGCGATGCTGGAAATCCATCCGTCCGGGCGTCGCGAGACTTTGTAAACCTCGAGGGTGTTCTCAGTTCCTCTGTTGATGACGAATGCTTTCGAGTCGGGCGACCAACAGACGAGCGAGGCGAAGTCGAACTCCACATTGTGACGAACATGCTTGTGCTCCTTGCTGGAAAACTCCTTTGTACTCCAGATGAAAATAGCTCTATCTGCAACAAACACTAGATATTAGAATCAGAAGCATCTTAATTTACAATCATTGAGACAATAGAGTCAAGAGTGCTGTGGGGTGAAAATTACACAATCATTGGCTGTAACAACATTTCCATTACATGTTGTTGGCAACAAAAACTTTTATGATATCGCTCTCTGCAATGAACATAGTCATAATGAGTTGGCAACACAAATTGATGTAATACAGCATTCCTTCAATAATTGGTCTTTTAGTAATCCAGACTCCCCAGTAATCATGCTCAATTCCCTCCCTAAAAACCAGAGCCTAAAAATATCTAATTCCATATCAAAGTACAGTAAAAAGAACAGTAAATTAAGAAAATACCATATTTTAAGTACTGTACTGTAATATGAAATGACATACATTACTGTCCCTACATTTAAACAATCATTGTACTAAGTAATTACAGTAATTAATCATCACCTGGGCCAAACTGCACTTTCACTACAATACTGTACTATTTTAACAGGTTACAAGCCGAGGTACATTTAGCAGCCACTTCAGCTGTCTTAAGTCTCTTAATTGGTCTGACCTTTTCCTAAATCCAGCGAGATTATCAAAGGACTACAGTGTATCACTTTAATTCAACAAACATTGATGTGGTTTTTGCAAGATAAAACTGTGTTTCAAACATTCCTCTTATTCTATTTGCAGCAAATAATGCTATGTTTATGATTTCTTTATTTTTTCATGTGATACTATTAAAAATAGTTATCTACTCAAACAGGATTGTAACGGACAAAAATCCTACTACTAATATTATGGGGAGCGAGCTGGAGTAGTGGTTAGAGCGGGACTTCAGTCCCTGAGGTCCCGGGTTCAATCCCCGCCAAGTCACCAATGGATTTTATCTAAGTGATAGTGCCGCAACCCCTAGGTCTAGCCTGAAGTAATGTGAAAAACAATCCCAGGCTCGTGCCTAGGACAAAAAAAAAACTACTAATATTATAAATGAGAAAGTTTGGATGTATGGATGTATGTTTGTGACAAGTAAACGCATTAACCACTGGACGGATTTTGCTGAAATTTGGTATGATGATAGCTCACATTCCCGATCAACATATAGGCATATTCTTATCTCAAAAATCCTTTCGGGCTCCGCCCCAGTGGCTCTATAGTTCCCCATGTTAACCTTATGAGTATTCATATATAAAGGGAATTAAAGAGTTTAGTCAGCTGTTTCAACTAAAAAGTTGGTTCTATGATATGCAAAAGCATTAAAAACTTATAAGATTTACCAACAGGGTGCAGCACTATATTTATTTTGCATTCATGAAAACTGCTAATTTGAACTAAGCAGTGACAAAAAAACTGTGATATGCAATGAGAACTAACTGTCAAAGTAGGATTGTTTACAGTTATGTTTATGTTTTTAGTTTCAGGAATAATTTGTGATATTTTGCGATTTTTTTAAATTTATTTTTCTCTATTGTTTAGGTGAAGAAGTAGAACATAATGGCTATGGTAGATATGTGATACTATAGAATACTGTAAATTTAAAGTAGTAAATTTTATCAAACTTTGTTCTCCCTCATTGCAATGCAAAGCTTGAGTATAACTGCAATAAGCATTTTATAGCCAACCCCGTACGAAGGACGGGTAATCTGCTAGTTTATATATAATTTATTCCACTTGTTTCTGACTGATAAAACTATATTCTGGAACTGCTATTATATTCCATTAAAGATAAAACGTGCTCGTTGGATAAAACTAGTCCAACATAATTGTGGTAAACTCAACATTGAAGGTAACTAATGTTGAAATTTGATACCGTTTTTAGTCTAAAGTGGTATTTAACATCGGAGTGTTACATTTTTACTATTATATTTCTAAATTGTTTGATCTATTTTACAATGTTTGGTAAATTGTACAGAAGGGCGTACATTATGCAGAGTTTTTTAACTTCAATGACATGTTTTCAGTTTAAATGCGTCTATATTTTGTTTATTTGTTAATAATGCAGTATATACACATTCAAAAAAAGAATACAGTACTTAGTAAAGGATTTCTGAACTATTCATATATTAGCTTTCTTACTTATTCAGTTATAAATACTGGTAATATTAAATTTTTATACGCAAACTAAAGAAACATTTTTTCAGGCGGAAAAGATTTTAAAAGGTCATCAAGGCTAACAAGTAGCATCGAAAATTCAGTTCAGATCGCCTTTGTCGTCCAACAAAGTATGTTTGTGAGGTCGGTAATGCGATACAATATAAATAATTGACATTCCACTGCGTTCCGCTCATGATCCAAGTACGGAGTAATCAGCCATAAATATGCCACAGAGAAGTCAAACCTGCCTACCTTAGTAAGCCAATTGGACGATCAAACCTTATAATGCTTCTTATATAAACATTGTTACAAAAGAAACGCACAATTTGGTACCCATTACTGTGGACGTTCTTGCACCATATTGGCATTGTAAATGGTTTAAGAAAAAAGTATTTGTGAAATAGTCTGTATTTTGTAATCTTATAATTTGTTTGATTTAAAAAATGTATCAATGAAAGATTAACGAACCCAAGTGTTGATGAAATGGTTTCATGAAAGGTCACCGAATATTTTAAACCTATGAATTTCAAGAAAGCATGACGTTTTTGTGAATAAATTATTTACTAGAAACAAGAGGAAATAATGAAAACATAAACTCTGATTTAATCCTTGTTTTGCAAAATAATCACCTACGGGTGTATACTTCGTTACAATAGGCGGTTTCAGGGGAAGAAATCTATCCCCTCCACTTGATCCTTACCTTTAAAATAATAGTGCAACAGCTGTTTAAGCAACATACATTAAATACAAAAAGTATTGGGGAATTTCCCCTCAAACCGCCTAAATATTTAGAACAAAGTATAATATTTAGGATCTGATATTATTTGGCAAAGAACTCTTCAGTAATAAATGATAATGAAACTGTTATTCATCGCAGCGATCAAAATCCTTTCTTAACTAACTTAGTAGTAGCTCCTTCTCTGAGGTAAGTTCCCTACAAACACCTTAACCTTAAACATTCAGACTTAATGAGGTTTAAAGGCTAGCAGATGTGTAATTAACAGCTGACATTATCAGTGCCAAACCTGGGCGGTCGCCAAAGCCAAGTCACTAATGTACTATCTGAGCTTCATATGCTCTTACTATCGGAGCTGTGTATGCCAATAGGGCTTCAATAGAATTACAATCTATAAAAGGCAAAGCCCTCACTGACTCACTGACTGACTCACTCATCACTAATTCTCCCACTTCCCATTTACCTAATTCGGAACACCGATTCTTTGGGCATTAAATAGGACAACTAAGTAGTTTTTATTCTGATCGGGCTTCCGGGCTCCGCCCCAGTGGCACTGGAGTTTCCCATGTTAACCTTGTGATTTTTCATATTTAAAAGGAATTAATGAATCTTAACAGCTGTTTCAATTAAACAAGTTGGTTCTGTTCTGTGATGTTCAATAGCATTAAAGTTGCAAGGATTACCAACAGGGTGCAGCACTATTATTTTTTTTAATGTATGACAACAGCTAATTTGCAACCAAAAGGTGAGTGAGCGTAGCAAATGAACTTCAACCTGGAGGCAAGTTAGCGTAGCGAACGAGCTAACCTGGTCCTGAAGGCAAGTGAGCGCAGCGAACGAGCTCCAACCTAAAGGTGAGTGAGCGTAGCGAACGAAGTTCAACCAGGACGTAATTGAGCCATGCGAATACTTATGAAGTTAAACGGGGCAAAGCCTGCGTGTACAGCTAGTGTTTCTTTAAAATTTGGCCGATTTCTAAATTTTAAGGTAGGTTTTAAAATATCGCCCAAAAACTCATTCGTCTCTTTCATCAGTTAAACTGAATACTTCTTTTTCAAAGTAATATATTTTGCAAAAGTCTTAGAGTAAATTTTCTTTAAAATATTAAACTTGTTTGGAAGAAAATTCAGTAAAGCTCTTTTAAAACTGGTTCCCATTTGCTGCAACTAGGTGTTTTTAATCCCTTTTGTTTACATTTCATTAAAAGACCTCGATTTATCTTCTGTATCAAGACTTTTTCAATTGTTTGTGTATTTTACAGTAGAGTAAACAAAAGATTTGTATTTTTAATTATTAAATTCCTGAGATAATGATAATAATTTGTCTATCGTTGAGGGTCATTGCGCAGTTGTGAAACTCCGAAGTTCAACTGCTATTCTAATACAGTAGTGAAAGAAACCTCCAAAAAACTTTTCTGACATCTTGCCAAACTGTTCAAAACTGGCGATAATGTTTTTGCTCACTTATAAACAATATCTCCAAATGTTTGGGTTAAATACAAATTTTTATCTTTATTTTACCGAAGAAGAGTTTAACATTTTTTAGACGTATGTTACTGCAAGATGTAACCAGGATTAGATATTTTTAATATAAAAAAATAAATAGGTATGTTTCCCGTTGTTAAATTTTATACAAACAAAAAACCGTTAGACGTTACTTGTTAATTATATATTTTTTTTTTTTTTATGTATACCCTGGAAAGATTATGGTTTAGTTTTAGTTGTAATATGCATACTTCCTTATAGGGTAAATTTTACTTGCAATGAACTTACTCTACTACTGGATTTGTACTTTGAGGCTTGTGTTTTATCAACACCTGGAGGTCAGAACCTCAAGGTCATTTGTTATCACTTCCTGACCATCACTGAGATATGAATGATGTATGCTCATTTAGCCTCTCAAGTCCCATAGAGACCAAATAGTATAATATCTAAACTTATAAATAGTACTGTATTAGAATTTGTGATATCACTTATAGATAACAAACAGATAGCATATTAGAAAGGGTTGAGAATGTAAGGTAAATGAGCAAAAACAAAAAACTATACATTGTGATTTTGTTTTAAATAAATATTTGAGTGCGAACTTGCGCACTAAAATTTGATATTTAGTTTTTTTCACTCTTTTGATATGGGGATATTATCTAGCGTATACAAAGGTATCAGAACCAGAAATTCTGTATT